TAATGTTCTGCCAGTGCAGTTGATAGTTGACCTACCAACGTGATCTACTATGGTGGGCATGTGAGATCAGGTGCGAGCATTGTGTTCGGTTTGAAGTCACTTGAAAACATACGAACTAACGTGAGGCACCTAGTTCCTGGACTGGAAGCCTTGAAAATACACCCCCCCTTCGGAGTTTGGTTCAACCACAATCGGTAGGCAAGGGAATTCGAAACACAGTACAGACCTGTGGCCTTGAGTGGCAGAAATCCATGCCAAAAAGTCCGTCTCAAGCGCTTTTCAGGTTAGAAGGACATCCCACTTGATTACGCAACTCAGATTTATTCAACCTACTCAGCGATGACAATACTTTAAGCCTGTTATTGCAATATCGCCTGACAATTTCTTGTAGATTAATTAAGAACCTTTGCTTGACTACTATAAGTCCGGAACATTCAAATAAGTTGTCTCCAGGAGCTGTCCAGTAGTTCAAACCATTGATTTTGCTAGCATGACTAACTCTATGTTGTCTGCTTCAAAACAACTTTGGAGTTTAAGTGACTGCGCTCAGCGTAATTTATTCAGTAGCTTCAGTAGTTCGGAATAAATGGGTGGGTATTCTGTTTTGGTAATCTACACACTTTCAAAGTGTATTTACTGTGTCTGAATATCATGTTCCTGTCAGGAATCATACTCAGTCAGGTCAGACGGACCACACAGGAATGGTAGCTGTAGTTTCATGAAGTTTCATATGTTTCTTGACAGCAGTCTCCGACAGCAAATGACGGGTTTCGCCTTCTTAGGCCTCATCATGTGCGCGCAGTCCCCGAGTTTTCGTCAATCTTGTGTTCTGTTTGAACCCGAATCTCCAAATGTACCCATTTTCATACAAAATCGGTTTTCAATAACAGTATAATTAGTCTCCTTCACGGAAATTTACTGTGACACCTCAATTATCCTATCAACCAAGACCCCGGGCGGCTTTCATTTGAGGAACACAATCGACCAGAAATTCAGATGGTGTTCAGGTCAGCCTCACATGGGAAACCAAACTGGTTTGCAAATAAGTGTGTTTAGCTAACAGTTTCTATTCTTCTTCCGGAGGTCTAGTGTTAGGGTCATCTGACCACTCCAAATATAATATACCTTGATCGTTTTCAGGAATATTTGAAGCCATATGACCGCTATTCTGTAGGAGATTGCTGCGTCTCATTTACTAGTGCCCAGCCAAAAGTTCAGGGAGACAATAGAACAAAGCTGAAAACAGTCGTGAGTACAACTAATCTCCAGTATTCCAAAAGTTGTTAGCAGATTTGCGAAACAACTTTGCTAACCATAGCGTCAACAATGACGTGAGCAGCCGGCTGTACCGGGATTCACATTGAATGAGCACCAAGTATCAGCAAAACATCCGAAGTAAGCTAGATGAAGACTAACAGATTCGAACAGGACGGTACGATGGATGGGTTCGATTACTGTAGTTTTGACATAATTCGTTTGTCGCTTTATTGCCTTCGGATCTTGCTCAATATGTGGCCAGTGAAATTATTGTCTGGCCTAAGTCCTTAGTTTCCTTATACCTATCTGCAGTTCAATAATTTAAATCATCCACGACGTTCTGTTCCAACAGAAGACGTATGAACACCGGCTAGGAGCGCATCCGATAGGCACGTCGATGTAGGTTACATACGAAGTCGGAAAGTCACCAATTCCAAATATAAGCGCCATGATTTACAGATAGGGGTTGGGAGACTCTAAATTGTACGCCGGTCATCAATCATATAATCGCTGAGTATATGGAAATGTTGATGAGTTTGCCAAATGCAGCAGGTCAGATGGTGACCACAACGCTAATTTAGGGGAAGAGGATTGCTCTTGTCCATCAACCACCAACGCATGTCGCGAGATCACAGTAGATATGTCTACAACCGCTGTTTGCTTCTAAAAAGCGTGTCATCGTCCATTGTTAAATCAATCATTCTCGTTTCAGCTCACAGCTTCAAAGTTTCGGGTGAATGAACCCTAGCTTCTGAGCTCTCGGTCTTTACCATTCTTACTCTGATTGTCACCGCGCACAAAAATAACTCAGTGGAACAAGGAGGTACTTTGAACGTGGTTCTCCACTCTCATTTTATCCTTGGGAACTGTAAATCAGAGAAATGAATCTTCTGGCCGGTCTCAATTGGGATTCTCTTGGAACACCAAATCTTAATCAATATATTAAATAGACTTCTAAAGTGAGAACATGCGTAGAAGAGAAAAGCCGGCAACGGACAAGTCAGACCGAAAGGTATTAGGTCAGAGTTCCGCTAACTAATTTGCCATTTTAAGAGATGCAGTATTCTAACTGTGAATACTCAGAGGGAGCCCGAAGATTAGCCGGAAATCCCGTTGTCAGGACGCGCCCAGACAGAAGAAAAAGCACATGTGCAGAGAGTGATGCATCCCAAAGGTCAACATCGGTACGACACGTCCGGAAAGTAGGTGAGTTGGCGGCTCCCACTAAATACGGCTTAGCAACATACGGCCAGTGTAGTGGGCCTGAGATTGTTCACGACCGCAACTCCGCTATTGGCTGCACGGAGTGAACAAGTGAATGACCATATTTGGCCAATTAATCATCCTATATATTTACGCAGACGCTCTGTATATTTTGTCCTGGCAATACAGCCGTGTCCCCAGTTCTCTGTCTTCTCCCTATCGCGTGGTTTGGCAGGCTCAGTGCAGGCGTAACCCATAGACAGCCACCCACCGCGCAATACAACACTTCGAACTGCACAACAACCATCCACGTCGGAAGTCCTTGCTGTGACGCAACAAAGATAAATGCACCAACTAGAGGCCGCGTGCGCGCGACGAACTAGTAGCCAATTAAATGACGTCTGCACTAGTTTATGTTTATCCGAAATGCAATTCAAACATATTGTCAGCGATAATCGGACGAAACGGTCTTGTTTGCTTTATTCTAACACAATCCACAGACAAGCAGTTATCTTGTAACGGCCAGTAGCATGAGAGAGTCACCCGCTGCTCAAATATCATCGGATCACACGATGGTGGTGGATGATAGTAACCTGTAATACATATAATACCATAATTACTCTCTACGTCACGATATGTTGTTTGTTGATATGGACTGGATTGAATTGGCGATCTTATTGCTTTTTATGATGGACACATTCTTTATCCGTATGAGCGGTACGCACACACTGGATGAACTATATGATGACTTATGATTGTTTCCAATCGGACGAAACTCCACCGTAGCTGGAGTGTTTCATGAATGGATTATCATCAGTATGTGTAATTTGGTTGGCCCCTCATGTTCACCATGATTGAGAATCTCCGTCCCTTATTTGGAGAGTTCATTGGGTCTTAGCTATCAGATCCTGCGTGAATTTCTTCAAGATGAGGACACGGGAGGATTTGAGCATAGTTCATGATGTTTTATTGGTGGCCGTTTGTGGTCTTTTCGGTTTATTGTTCCAGTGCCCTGTTATACGGAACCAAACCAAACCTCCTTGAAGGTGTCAGACCAAACCGTTGCGGCGGTTCATCCGTGTCTTGCCTGTTTCTCACTACCTTCTATCGCGTCTTTACGCGGAGTGTTACTATATTTGTTTTTCTCGTATTTTTGCATCAATCCAAAGGAAACTGTCGATCAGTATTCTTCGTGGGGTTGATTGTTTCAGAACTGGTCCTTTCATCCAGAACGTAATTATCTTCAATGACTGATTTTGTCCAAAAATGTTCAATTCGTTCTAACAAAAACCCTGTATGATGGCGGACACAACCCCCCTAAAGCAAATAGGTGTCATACTGTGACGCTTCATCTTTGGGATGCTGGCTTAGACTTGATATAATTGACCGATTAATCCTTGTTCATTCCAAGAATAACCGAGGCGTTTGCCAAATTTTGGCATCCCCCATCAGCTTTCCATGCATGACGTGACCTCCGACTTGATCAATTAGATCACAGGACTGCTGCGTAGTCAATTCACCAATGTGTGTATGAACGTCGTGAGCAAGAAAACCAATTATACAGTGCTCCCACGATCCTACATTCCTCCACCTTTCTTTGCCTTGCTGTTCTTGTGGTACCTGTCTTACTGCCCCTGTCAGTTTCCAATCTTTTCTGACATGTCATGACGTACGATCTTCGCAACTCCAGCAGCTTGATACGTATTCCAAAATAAATTAGAGGGTTCAGCTGTGCCACGCCTATGATTCGTAGGTTCCACGCGACACTATTGGATACCAAGGAGTAACATTGTCAGGTTACCGGAGCCTGAACACGAGCAGTAAAGATGCGAATGCATGTCCGAACGTCTGAATATCAGGTCATGCCTTAGCTACTGAGCTATTGCACCTGGGCTTCCGAACGAATTTTGACCCTTTCTCCGCGATTTCATGTAATAAAAAAATCGTTCAGCTATGACACTTCCGGTGCCTATCTGTCATGCTACCCGAAAGAAGCAGGAGGGCTAGGATACTGCCAGGTTGCCCAAGCCTAGACAGGGGAATTCGAGAGGCAGATGTCGGGTTCGAACCATGGACCATCCGGTCAGCGGATTCGCGCTCTAACCACATGAGCCATCTCGCCCCGATTTCATGCAATACAATTCAGTATTTCCCTTTGCTCGATCAATAACTTTCCGGCACATCTAAAATTGAGGCTGTACCGTCCCTTGCTCCATACAGCCACTAAACGTGAGTGGTATTCAACCCAACCGGCTTATTCATTCCCACTTTCAGTCATACACGCTGGCTCTTCATGCACCAATAATCGAGCAAGTGTATTGTTTTCAATGCATGCGCGCAGAGTCTGAGGCAGATTTTGGATTGCTAAAGAGGGTCTAAGTGTGCGTTAAACACAATGCTGATCAGCCAGGCGTGGTTGAATGGTAGTGTGCAGCCAACCTGAAAATTCATGGTTTGAAACTACTTAAGGATTCGCTAGTGATTCCCAGCGGGGATGAAACGGCTTTACAATACTTCCAGGCGTTTCGGCACGGATCTACTTTATTGGCAATCAGTTCGCAAATGTTACCAAACGAGGAGATACCACCAAGATCATTAGGAAGCACGAATTCACACCATTCATTCATATTCATATCGCGACTGCGCCTAATCCTGTTGCATGATCTTCGCCGTACTGCGAGACGATCACAACGAAGACTTATTGAAGAACAGCTGGCATGGAGTCAGTGGCGAACACGTGACCCAGGTTCTGGTGCATCCGTATGGCGGAATAAGCTTTGCCTGTTTTTGACTAGTGTATATCCGTGATAAAGAGGGATGCACCCCGTCAGAGTGAAACAATGCGTGCAAGTAACTGCGCGTAGAACCGGTAGCCCCTGGTTCAAACAGGTGAAACGAAAACAAGAGTTACCGTCAATAGTGTTCGCCAAAAAACAAACAGGGTACACATGGGAATTCAAGTAATTGATACTGTTTCATTGGTATTAAAGTAAAAAATCAGAAAGGCGGAAATCAGCACACAAACAAGAGTATCACAATGGTCTTTTGTAACAAGAAGGCAAGATAAAACAAACTTCGTCGGAGGTACAAAGTATTTGAGAATAAACCAGCAAGCCAAGAGGAGTAGATGCCAACTTTGATAAAATAGCAGAGGAGTATCAAAGCAGCGTCTAATTCTGGTTGCCTTTGTTTAGTGAATCTCGATAATAATCCGCCAACACAGTCCATGCAGACGGAGCCATGAAACCTTCCGGTGGCTCTTCCCCGTTACGGGCAAGTCCACGCATTTTTGTGCCAGATATGAAGAGGAAATCTGCAGCTCTTTTCGGATCAAAGAAGTTCATTTTCCCAACCTTAGTGTCATAGGCGGCCACACGAAACGGGAGTATTTTTAAGCCAGGCAAACCAGGTGCCATCGATAAAACCTACAAGAGATCAATTATTCGACTAAAATTAATATGCCGCAAATTGATATATTTTCGGCCTGGCTTTCAAAAACAAAATCCTAGAGATTGGACGACTGAGAAGGAAATACGCCACGAGTATACACAGATGAGGGCTGAATTGAAAAAGGAGTCTCGCCTGTGTGCTCATTTAACAAGGCCCTAACTCTGACTGCGCTATACCTCCGTGATACAACCAGGAATAACGCAGTCATCAGTTCAAAGGTGTATTGTATGACTTCAAACAAAAGTGCCAAATTTCAGTTCTCCCTGAAGAGTAGCTGTTTGTGGCTTTGAATAGCATATGAACATTGCACAAAAGCCGAGTATCCGAGTGCAGCAAATATACGCGAATGAGTTAAAGAATAAACAGATGACTGTATTCAAACCTTTAAAAGAGGAATAAATGTAAAGCTTCGCTTGAAAGTTCAAACAACATGGGAAGGCGCTGAAAATGTTGAGCTCATGCAGCTCGCTATTTAAAACTTGCGAAAACACCCGAGATGTACCACACCTAAATGCAATGACACCGAGCTTCATGAAGCCTCATCGATCGATACGTAATTTCGTCCTACTATTGCTGCTGAAATTCACAAAAATTTACATCGGAGCTACCTAGCACATCCAAACCTGGCTTTTTGTTCATGAGAAGTAAACAGAAGTCAATTGCGAAGGTTCGCACATTCGCGAAAAAGGGCAGTCCTTGTGTGATAATGAGCTGACATTTTCTCGGCTCTCTTACATAGGCGTGGCATATTATGCACCTATCCGCACCGGGGCACACTAATTTCCTAGAGGGGTTCCTAAATAGGGAGGAAAAAGTTCGCACAGCAATGCAGGTGAGTCAATATGAAAACAAGTTTTATGATACTCATACCTAAACAAGATAATTTGTCGAGGTTCACACTACACCAGTTGAAGTACGCAGGTCTCGCACCAATCAGAACGATTTCAATTTTGTTGTAGGTCATACACTCGACATGCAAATCCGTGTAGCCTACAGAAGCTGATTTTCAGGATTTCAGTGGTTTTAAGACAGTTACTAGCTGACTTAAAAAAATTACAGATAATTCAAGTAGACGTAACTTCGGCGATGTTGTCGGTGTTCCGGAACAACTCTAGGCCGGGAAGGGGGCGAGCATCAAAATCCAAGTTTTACCGTTTTCAGCATAGCAGTTTGAACTAAATTAAAATTAGTGTTTTAAATCACCTTTACATTTTGGCATAGTCGGCCACAAAACACTATCCTAGTACACAGGCAAGCTTTTCCATTCCATATCAAAAAAAGGTTGCAATGGCAAGCGACTCTGGCTGGCGGTGGATCCAAAACCACGGTCTATCGGATGAACGTGTGAGAAAACCTCGAGCTGAAATACATTCACTGCAAAAAGCATTCTTTTTCTTTGTTGAAATGCCCATCACAGGAGGTGACTCGAATGAGAAAAAGGGGGAAAAAAGAGAAGCCCCGAAAAGCACAACTGTCCCGAAAAAAAACAATCATTCAGAGGTAAGGCAAGGAGAATGGGGGGATTCTGTCTCGATGAACTAAGCCCGATCAGTTGTACGGGAATTTTTAATCTGCTGTCCCAAGTTTGTCTCATCACCTCGTCAATGACGAAAGCAAACGAAAATGGAGAGAATGGATACCCCAGCGGCGTTGCTTGTAAGAACGCTTTTGGAGAGCTACTTATATACTCTTCCATGTCCAAAAACATGTAATTAGAAAGAGCGTATGACATTTATTGAACTTCTGGGGGCATATCCCGCTGCATGAGCGTACGATCGAACACTGCGGAAAAAATGTACAAAAAGTCAGAATTTCTGTGCATTTTTTCATAAAGCGTACCGTGATATTGCATCGCACATATTACCACAGAAGAAGGTCTCTTTATGGAGGTACTGACTATCTTCACTGAGGAAGGGGCACAGAATCACACCAAATGGTTCTTGCAACGGGCATCTACCCAGGATCTGACTGCCCTCAGTTGACCAGCCCGTAAATTAATGGAAGAATTCGCGCGTTACAAATGCGGGCTTTTTTACTTTCCTCCTATTTCATTAGCAGAGGATCACTGATTTCGAATGGTGTGGGTCCCGCATGCAACCGAAACGGGGACATGATCCAAAGAGCGGATATGAAACGGTCGATTTTCACAAAATGTCCGGAGGTTTGGGTGGGACAACAAACTTGGCTAATGCCAATAATACTATGAAACAATACGTGGTGTAAACCAATAAGGTGTTCACGACACGTATATCATATTGACGAAACAGGACGCCAATATTAACAAACATTTGTGCCAAACCGGAGCGCTTTGGTGGGGAGTGGAAAACCTGCAGCTAGTCTGCTTTTGCCGTCCTCTTCCACAATATCAGTAAGGAGTAGTACTAAAATAAAACTTGAAAACGGCTGCCGTGTTCAATAAACAATTCATGAAGCTATTCTTCAGATCACTAGCAAATAACAATTTGGGTGGTCGAAAATCATAGGGGGAAATTCCATGACAAAACAGATTGAGCTGAGCGGAATTCAGATCACTAACAGAGCTGATTTGGAAAAGGCTATCGCGGACGCACAACGATATAATATTCCAACAAGGCTGGCAACAATAGCTTGCGCAATGTTTAGGAACTGCAGACGGAACAAGGCGAATTGAGAGGCTCAGCTACGGAGACGACCGGTATTTGAATTGCGATTCAGAGTGGTTTTGACAACAAGCCACAACCCGCATTTGTACTCGGGTATGAACGGAAATCAATACAAGGCTTCATGGGCGCTTGGTTCGAAAATAAACATGTTACACGAGGGGAAAGTACCGAATTGGATGGAAACTCATCTGCTGACGTGCAAAACGGCAATCTGGTCTGACATAGCATGGAACTACAGTCATTATAATTATAAAAGTAACAATCTTAGGAGTGCGGAAAGTAGATTTTGCCTTCGAGTGGAATTTACACAAGGGGGGAGATGCTTCTTGCGAGCCGAGCGACTGCTTTGGTCTATTTGGTGTGGACTTGTGTTGCGATTTCTCACTATCTCGACCACTGTAGTGCCGCTCCGACGTTTCTGTCGTATTGTCATATTTATCCACTGCTTTAGAATAAATGCAAGTTTTCTACAGGTCGCCACGGGACAGACAGCTATGGTGCCACTGTTGGTGAACCACGTGAACAAAACTTCACTACTACCAGCAACATACTGTGAACCTTATAGTTTTAGCCAGTTGCAGGTTCTCATAAAATACTCAGCCTGATACTTTTTAAGACTCGTGTTTCACCAATTATCCATTTACTTCAGGTAGTCCAACCTGACTCATATGTTTCATGTCTCTCAAGAAGCAGCCTTTTGCCCGTTATCCGATAACAAGTTACGTACTGTGCTGTCCCCATCGAGATGGATGTTACACTGACAGGCCACAGTATATACAAACTCATACACCTAAACCGTTTTATTTGACCCATTCCCATACTTCTAAAAGTCGCTTGCAAGCATTGTGCCCATCAGGTTCTGGGAGCGTATCAGCAATCTCAACTTTATGGTACTGGGCCACAGAGAGACTTAGCAGGCAGTGAACCGAGCGCCTTTGTATCAGCCGGAAGGTCCCGGAGGAAAAGCGAATAGGTACGAGTACCCGCACAATGCGGGTACACAATCGGAGTCCAGAGGTGTACTCTAAACTGAACGATAGTCTTGTAAAGAAGCTCTAAACCGATAACTAATTGCCACATGGTCGAAGTGAGTTCAGGGCTGGTTTGCTGTTGGTAGCCTCTAAGTTACACGGCGTGAGTGCTTGTGCTGTATAGAAACAAATGATGTTAAGAACATAATCAAATAAGCTGTTCCCCATGATCTGAACAGTAAGCGTCAACCCCAAATACGTTGCCAAGGTGGGCTACATCAGAACCTAGTCGGCTAACCTGACATGATTTTTGTGCTCCTCGCTGTCCGGAGTAACCGTGACAAATTTCTATAGAAGCGTCAGAGATGTGGTCTGTCGAAGCATATACCGAGACAACAGACAAACCCCGTTCACTACGTCAAGATGCATTCACTGATCTTGGTAATGTGTCGAAATATTGGTAGCCCCGTGTCTTGATTGGTTGTTGCTCAGACGGCTGTTGACCTATTCGGTGACCTTGGCAGTTGACTTGCAAGTCGATTGCCATCTGATCAACATCCAATGCACTGATCTTGATTGGACCAGTCAACCTAGCAACCAAAAACGACTGGCCATTGGAACCCAGTCCAGTGAGGCGGATCCAACCCTGGGGCTAAGCATGAATTCTAAGTCGCAAATACTACAAGTCATCAGGATAACTAGGCACCAGAAGAGTACAGTGCGAGAAATCTGGGTTCGCCGCCAGTGGTTTGAAACAGAGACAAAACATACACCGAGAGAAGAAGGCCAGAGCAAGAGCGACCTGTTACCCAATTTGACAAAGAGTACGCACAATGAAAGCAGCATCGTGGAACAGATACCCCGAATTTAATATCGGTTTATTTGTAGTTACGTTACTGGAAAGATACTTGTTTACGGAACAACGATTAGGTGATTGACAGCTGAATGAGTGAGGGACGTGTGGGGATGACGGAGACCACCAGACAAGACAAATCAGTGGTTAGTGAACCTGACAGATATGGCTGTCATGTAGCCAGTGAGGCTCTTGCATCAAAGCTATAGCCTTTACTACGTAGCTCTCCATTTCTGCCACACAGGACAAACAGAACTATTTGCAATCAATGAATCGATTGAGTCACTGCGTCCAACGCGTGGCTTTCGTTGCTTTATTCTCCCCATTATCGGTGAATGAAGCTGTAGCAGCTGGAACCAGTGCATTTCGATGCACGGTTTGTGAGTTGAAAAACTGAACCGAACGTTTGCAAGCAAGGTGATACTCAGCGAATGGGAGAGGCGAGAGAATATGACTTTTAACCTGAAACTATGGCCCAAACATAAGGTGCATGTGGCGGGTGCAACTGAGTGGAAGAAAGACTAAAGAAAATGTGAATAAAACGGCAATTCGTACACGAAGTAAGCGTGAGGGAGCTCTGGCAATTTACACACCATTTTACAGAGAGGAAGTCTATTGCATGGTTGGTCGATATTTCTCTAAAGGTAATCCTTATGGAGAGTCACCGCATACTTCAATCGAAAATTCCGGGAAATGGGAAAACGAATTTTAGGCGGGGTGGTTTTTTACACAGAGATAAACTATTGGAGAAGATCATATAACGTTCTCATGTTACGCCTTCCATACGGAAATTCGTCAGAGTAACAAGTAATCGTCCAGCTGTAGCACCATTTAGGTGCCCAGCTGCCATTTTACCCGAGGGCTGGGATGCAGCCAGATTGCTCAAGCCTATACAGGGGAAGTCGAATGCACACACCGGGTTCGAAACACACCCTCCAATAAGCTAATTCGCTCTCTAATCACTGGGCCATCTAGCCCAAAAATTCGACAGAATTACCAAGATATTCCGACGGGGATCTTAAAATGCCTCAATGCAAAGTTGACAAAGTTGACCGAACTTAAGACATCTCAACCTCTCACAGTGAAACACGTTAGGATGGTCATTTGGACGTATTCGCGTGAAAAAAGTACGGATTCAAAAAACAAAATGATGGACGGACGTCAAGCTTCGACTTCGCTGTAAACAAGGTGGAATCAGAGCCTTACTGTATGCCCCACAACTGGGAGTTGGGTGGTTGGTCAACTGCAGCTTTAGCGGGTGCGATTCAATGTTCTAATTACTCACGGATTTCACAGAAAACAGTAAGGTAGGGGTTTTCACAGAGATTTCAGCGGACCTATACAAGCGCTATTTGGATTCAACAGACTCCCAAACAGGGCCTGCTAAAATGGTTTCGGCCAAACAAATGTACAACGTGATTTGTAAAAAATGAAGTAAGTTATATTCCTGTTCCTATTCCAACTTCTAAAAGAAAGGGTCAGTGTTCAACACTTTCGAAACCCTTGCGGTACTGTTGAAAAAGTTAAGGAACCTGCAACGGAATAAAATGTAATAAGCGGGCTAGGGTGAAGAAGCGAAATTGTATTAGTTCCTCGGTCAAGGTGTATCGTAACCCTCTTAAAGGCCATAAACAAACAGGCAAGTACGCTCAACCGCGCTGGGAATACGCCACCTGGCTACACCGTTAGTCATGTAGAATTGGATGGAAATACATGAAGCGAGAAACACAAAAGCATGCTTACTTGTGCACCATGCGTTGGGTCATATAAGTCAACTCCAGATCCGTCTGGATGAGGCAAACCTGCGGGATCTCTCCCTACAATATAGAACTGCACACCAGCATACAACCGTGTCCGAGCATGCCATTGAACTTCCCGAGGCCCGGCATACAACATGGGAGAAGGGAAGATGGCAACCAGGGTTGTTTTTGGGTCCAAAACTCCCTCATCTAGGCATGCGTCATGTTGAAGCATACGTATGTGTAATGGCACATCATCCGGTTTCGTCCAGCCGCCCAATGGATGCAGCAACAAAACGGGATTGTGGAAACCATGTTCTTCAAGCAATTGTCGCCTTGTCTCTGTCATCAGCAGCGCATGACCATTGTGTACTGGGTTGCGTAGTTGGAACGCGAAAACACAATCCGCCTGGGAGTGAAAACAGCAAATCAGCTAACAGAATACGTGGTCAGCGTGTTGCTTGTTCACAGGTGTGCTACACGCAGTTGGAAACAGCAGGTATGCACATCGTAGAACGGTAACGTGTAACTGTAGGTAAAGGTGACTCACTGAGCAAAGTTAAGGCATCAATAGTAAAGAAAGATCCGTAAGCAAAATCGACCAGTGCCTAAAGTGTATTAGGTGGAATGAGTTGACGTACAATGTTGAAGACAATAGGACGGATAAATTCGGTTAGATCATCTTCAGAAGTCGAATAACGTTCGTGCAAACAAAACAGAAACATGTCTCATTGTGCAAAATGGGATAGTCAAAAGAAAAGCGATATGTGCCGTGAAAAACTAAAACTTCGAAATGCTATCGTCCTGCTGCACATCCCACAGCCCGTTCGGTAATCACTTTAGAGTCAGTGGTACTAACAGCACAAAGTCAACAGAAATTGAAACTGAATAGGCCAATGTGTTCAACTTGATAAATGTTCCTTTGTGACAAAAGTGGAACATTTAAACGTGTGACAGAGAAAGCAACGAAGATACGTTCGCCAGGGAGAAATAAGGCTATCATCAATTCCACAGACTGTCGGAATCCGGTTGAGCGCATTTGACTCGGTAGATGTTGATCGCTTTTCCAACTAAGAATACTGTCGTGGCTCATCCACCGGATCGTCTCGATTTCTGGGTGGAACAGAGCAGATGAGCATGAGGGGGCTGCTGCCAACGTCTCCTTTCGTACCATTTCACCCAATTTTCCCCCTTCCATCATATCATCAATACTACTCTCCTTATAGGCCCATCTGTTAGGACTGGCTTTACAGGCTTCAGTTCCGAGATCTGCGCGTCTGCCGGCGTCCACAGCCTCAGGCATCTCGAAATCAATATCCAAGCCTCGAGGTCCGGTCTATCTGGCTGTTGACAATCCTAAACAAGCAGGTTAACAGACTGTTCCTGAATGTACACAGGTCACTTCAAATTGATGCAGGCTGTATATTGGAAACAATATCCAAGCACAGCCATCCAGATAATTACTTTTCGTTTAGGCTGGAGCACCTTTGAAAACCCGGAAGACCTTTCGGTAGGTTATGCATGGGTCGGCATCGTACAAAGTCCCGAGCGGAAAGGTTCTTGCTAGACAGGATTACCGTTGCTAGTCACCTGTTCATCTGGCAACATCCGTTAAGGAGTCTCACAAGTGGGAGGCTGATCGTCGTCTGTTTATAATGGTTGCTTACGCCCCAACCGACTTGAACTCTGAAACCACCAATGACAACTTTTATGATGCTCTGAATGTCTTGTTATGCCAGGTTAAGAGCACAATATCATGCTTGCAGGAGATTTGAATACGCAAGTGGACAGACTTAGCGTATCTGAGACTCAATCAGGAGTCATTTGGTTTGGACTCGGTACGCACAGATAGCAACGAAAGACTGCTTCGGCCATGTGCAGTTCGCAGTATTCACTTCCGGGATCCATGGTCACATAATGTTCCCCAGAAGCGTACCAACCACGGACCCAAGTTGATCACATCGCCGTTAGTTACCGATGATGCGGACCAGTAGCTGAGTACCACTCATTTTAGAGCACTTGTGAGGACTGTGACCACGCATTTGCTCGGATTCGTTTCTCCCTTCCTTTTTCAAGACTGTCAAGAAATGGAAGGCCCGAAGTTAAAGGAATTTATCAGAAAATTACGACATTGCTTTACCTCGGCAGAATTCCGGGAGTTTCGCTCCATCCAAAGACGGTTCCTAGATCTTAGGGAGATGCTCTTGTCGTTTTCGAACATAATGCAGCCTGACGAATTATCATGCGCACCAATGGTGAAGCCTAGTGGACACCGAAGTTACCGGTTTGTGGGTGAAACCAGCGTCACTTCCAACCCGTATTGTTCAAAAATTAAGATTTAGTCCTAGTCAGCGCTTGGCCTATCTGCCTGCTTCTATTTATGGAAAGCAGACTGTCCCAAACAACTGGAGAGAGTCGTTTTCAGTGAAGTAGCCCGAGTTGGATGTGGTAATCACAGAGGGAGCACCTTAACTCCATTTGTAACCAGACTCTTGGCGCCCGTGAAGCATTGACTTTAAAGCGGCAAGCAAGGGTTTGCGTTCATCAAATTTTTACACCTCAGGTGCCTAGGACACAGCAGCTCGAAATTTTGGCATCTCCGGATCACCAAGGTACATTCGATCTGGTAGATCGATCTCCTTAACACGCCTCCCCAACAGAAAACGCCTCAGGAGTCTGTCAGTATAATAGGTATTGCCATTCTCAGACTTACGAACACACGAGATTACACGGAGAGGTCTCCAGAAATTGTTGTACGACAAGGACGTCCAACCTGTTCACTCCAATTCAATTTCGTGATCAACAAGACAATGAAGGGCAAAACGTCTTTAAAAAGAACCTCGAGGTTAAGAAAGCTGTAAACGAAAATTTCATCGATCTGGAAGGTACCGGTGTTTTTGGATGAACTGACCAAAGAGATTTCGCCCTTCGGCTTTGCACCAACAAGGTCTAAGACCATGTCCCTGGACATTCAGTCAGTGCAAACACTACTTAAAGTATTAGAAGGGACATTCGAGGTTGCCGAGCGTCATGTGTATGTTGGAAGTTGCATAAGGTCCGACTGACATCATCTATCAGTCGGATAGTATTTCATAATTTGAGGCCCTATACGGGAGCAGCGTGGTGCATCCCTGGATCTTAAGGCTGTGCATCAGACAACAGTATGGGTCTTTTTGTACGGTTGTGCAATCAGCTTAACTGAGATGTCTTCCGGTTTCGAACCTGTGGTGTCGGTAAATAGGTTGCGCAACAGCGACTTCAATCGAGGAATGTGTGCAGTACGGAAAGTTGCGGTGGTCTTTCGAATATAACGAATGCTCGACCATTGTTTGCTAAAAGTATACCGTTTTCCGTGTCTGTTCTGGAGCGGGTCAAACAAATGAGCACAAAATGCCTGGATCCTGTCTTTTCAAGTAGCCTTTCACGGTGGACTCCACGTGATCCTTCTGTGCATGGTTGGACACTGTAAAATATAGCTGATAATCGATGTCAACGGTGTCACTGTTGTCAGTTTCTATCCAGAAGGTCTGAATGAGTGTGTGGGAATGAGTATGGTAGACTAACATTAGGTCTTCTCATCCAACTTTATTTTTTCTCTTTACAATAAGGCCTTCAAATAAATTAGCTTCATGGAAGCGAAACGTTAGTGCTGACATACTAATACTGTGTTGTCAGTGGTGACGAGATGGTCCATGAATATGTCCAACCTGTACACGTGATCTAAGTTGAGTATCATATAAATTTGTGATGTACTGTTCGAAGAACCAATCGCAGAAAACAAGCTTTATTTGTATCAGGAAAGCAACCACTGAAGGCCCGGAATCTACGGAGACTCTCAGCTCCGCTGGGTGTTGACCAGACAGAAAACGCCTCCACAATATGCAGCACGTCGCTGCCTCGTACTAAAGCCAGACCGCGTGCGTCAGCATTGGACTAAGTTCAGACAGTGTCCTTCCAATAAAAAGCTTGAGGCCGTTGTACTTTTCGCAC